GCATTCACTTGTCAGGTCCAGAGTCGAAATTAGTGGTTGATATAGCAGCATCTTACCATGCCACACCAGTAAGAGAATTTTTTTGTTGATATGTAGTAGGTGATTTTGCAACTGTGAGAATGGGTAACACGAGTTACTCAAAAATTGCAGGGATCGATGACATTTGTATCAAGACAAATGTCGGATGCACATTGGTTCTAAAGGACGTGCAGCATGTACTTGATTTGCGGATGAACTTGATCTCGGGAATTGCTTTAGACCGAGATGGATACGAGAACTATTTTGTAAATCAAAAGTGGAGACTCACCAATGGATCATTGGTGATTGCAAAGGGAGTTGCTCGTGGCACGTTGTACAGGACAAATGCAGAAATATGCCACGGTGAATTGAATGCGGCAAAAGATGAGATTTCTGCAGATTTGTGGCACAAAAGAATGGGTCATATGAGCGAGAAATGACCGCAGATTCTTGCCAAGAAATCACTCAATTCTTATGCTAAAGGTACAATGGTAAAACCTTGTGACTATTGTTTATTTGGTAAGCAGCAATAGAATCTCATTTCAGACATCGTCTGAAAGAAAATTGAATATAGTTGATTTGGTATATTCTGATATTCATGGCCCAATGGAAATTTAGTCGATGGGCGGTAACAAATTTTTGTTACTTTTATTGATGATGCTTCACGAAAATTATGGGTTTATATTTTCAAAACCAAAGATCAGGTGTTTCAAGTTTTTCAGAAATTTCATGCTCTAGTGGAAAGGGAGACATGCCAAAAGCTAAAGCGTCTCCGAAGTGACAATGGAGGTGAGTAGACTTCAAGGAATTTGAAGAGTACTACTCGAGCCATGGGATCAGACATGAAAAGACAGTTCCTGGAACCCCACAGCACAATGGCGAAGCCGAAAGGATGAACCGCACCATTGTGGAGAAGGTGAGAAGCATGCTCAGAACGGCTAAACCGCCTAAGTCATTATGGGGTGAAGCAGTTCAGGCAGCCTGTTACTTGATCAATAGAAGTCCATAAGTTCCGTTGGCGTTTGACATCCCAGAGAGAGTTTGGACCAACAAAGAGATGTCCTACTCGCATCTGAAGGTGTTCGGTTGCAGAGCTTTTGCACATGTACCAAAGGAGCAAAGAACAAAGCTGGATGATAAATCCGTTCCCTCCATTTTCATCGGATATGGAGATGATAAATCCGTTCCCTCCATTTTCATCGGATTGTGGGATCCTGTAAAGAAGAAGTTCATTAGAAGAAATGATGTAATCTTTCGAGAAAGTGAAGTTGGAGCTGTAGATGATCAGTCAGAGAAGGCCAAGAATGGTATATTCCCTATCCTTGTTACCATTCCTTCTACTTCTAACAATCCCACAAGTGTAGAAATTAGGACCGGCGAGGTTGCCGAGCAGGGGGAGCAACCTGGTGAGGTTATTGAGCAGGGGGAGCAACTTGATGATGATGTCGAGCAAGTGGAGTACCCCACTCAGGAAGAAGAACAACCTCGGCCTCTGAGGAGATCAGAAAGGCCAAGGGTAGAGTCATGCAGGTACCCTTCCACAGAGTATGTCCTTATCAGTGATGAGGGGGAGCTAGAAAGCCTTAGGAGGTTGTCCCATCCAAAAAAAGAATCATTGGATGAAATCCATGAAAAAGAGATGAAATCTCTACAGAAAAATGGCACGTGCAAGCTGATTGAACTTCCAAAGGGTAAAAGACCACTCAAATGCAAATGGGTCTTTAAACTCAAGAAAGATAGAAATGGCAAGCTGGTTAGATACAAAGCTTGATTGGTGGTAAAAAGCTTCAAACAGAAGAAATGTATTGATTTTGACAAATTTTTCTCACCTGTTGTCAAAATGACTTCTAATCGAGCAATCTGAGCTTAACAGCTAACCTAGATCTTAAAGTGGAGCTGTTGGACGTGAAAACTACATTTCTTCATGGAGATTTGAAGAGGAGATTTATATGAAGTAGCCAGAAGAATTTAAAGTAGCTAGAAAGAAACATATGGTGTGCAAATTGAATAAGAGTCTTTATGGGTTGAAGCAAGAACCAAGGCAGTGGTACAAGAAGTTTGACTCATTCATGAAAAGTCAAACTTACATAAAGACATATTCTGATCCATGTGAATACTTCAAAAGATTTTCTGACAATAATTTTATGATTTTGTTGGTGTATGTGGATGACATGTTAATTGTAGGAAAAGACAAGGAGTTGGTCACAAATTTGAAGGGAGATTTGTCCAAGTCATTTGATATGACGGACTTGGGCCCAGCACAATAAATTTTGGGTATGAAGATAGTTCCAGAGCGAACAAGTAGAAAGTTGTGGCTATCTCAGGATAAGTACATTGAATGTGTACTGGAACGCTTCAACATGAAGAATGCTAAGCCAATCAGCACGCCTCTTGCTGGTCAACTGAAGTTAAGCAAGAAGATGTGTCCTACAACAATGGAGGAAAAGGAAAGCCTGCTCAAAGTTCCTTATTCCTCTGTCGTCGGAAGTTTGATGTATTCAATGGTATGCACTAAACCTGATATTGCTCACGCAGTGGGTGTTGTTAGCAGGTTTCTTGAAAATCCTGGAAGAGAACATTGGGAAGCAGTCAAGTGGATACTCAGGCACCAGAAAGGTACCGCGGGATATTGTTTGTGCTTTGGAGGATTTAATCCAATCTTGAAGAGCTATACAGATGCTGATATGGCAGGTGACATTGATAATAGAAAATCCACTATTGGATATTTATTTACATCTTTAGGGGAGCTTTATATCATGGAAGTCGAGGTTGCAGAAGTGTGTCGCACTCTCTACAACTGAAGCGGAGTATATTGCTGCTACTGAAGCTAGGAAGGAGATGATATGGTTGAAATGGTTCCTTCAATTGCATCAGAAGGAGTATGTCGTCTATTGTGACAGTCAAAGTGCAATAGACCTTAATAAGAACTCTATATACCAAGCAAGAACCAAATACATCGACGTGAGATATCACTGGATTCGAGAAATGGTAGAGAATGAATCTCTAAAAGTCTTGAATTTTTTTTATAAGTGAGAATCCCGTAGATATGCTGACCAAGGTGGTACCAAGAGACAAGTTCGAATTGTGCAAAGAACTTGTCGGCATGCACTCAAGCTAGAAGTCCGGTGTTACCTCCTTCAGGTAAATGGGACTGGAGGGAGAGATAGTGGGGTCCAGCCCCATATGTGAAAGAAGATGAAGCTTCCTTTTGGTTTTTGTCAAGCCAACCAATTTAGAAAAGTTTTGGGCAGCTGACTTTTGCAGCAAATATTGATGTCATTGCATACATCATCATGGGCATTCTGCAACTATAAATAGGTGCCTCCACTTTCATTTGTAAACACCAACAAAGAGAAAGAAAGAGTGAGGTTTCACAGACAGGGGTATAAGAAAATAGTCTTTGGGAAGAATAGAGAGTGAGCGATATTGTAGTGAGGTGAGAATATCAAAAGAGTGTTATTTCTTTTGAGTGTTGTAGTGGTCTTTGGAGTATTCTACTCGAACCTACAAACTGTAAAATTCCTTGCTATAGTGTATCAGTTGCTCCTTTCGGGGCCGTGGTTTTTCCCTTATTCAGAAGAGTTTTCCACGTAAAAATCTTGGTGTCGTTATCATTCTTTTATTCTTGTTAATTACCGTATCTCAGTGCTACATTATTGTTCCGCTTTTATTACCGTAAATATTATTTTTGTGGAGTTTTATTCCCAACATCTTCATCATGTTTACTACATGCAAATAAGCAATATCACAGTTAATAACTTGAAACATACACTTGGAATTTTACAAATTAGAAAGAACAATTTCGGCGAATAATTGAAAGCAGATAATAATCGACCATAAGTTTATTAGTACACATTTGGTTGTGATACCGTCGCACAATCGAGAAAACTGAGCCCAAAGCTAGCCGAACAATGAACAACATCAAGATCTACACAAACCAAATACAAAATAGCAAATGCTCATGCACTTCACTTCAAAAAATTGCATTCTTCAAACCCAAAATCCCCGATTTATGAAAAGAAAAAAAGAAAATTTAGGATTTACCCAGATTTGACGATTTCTAAAGAAATACACTTTGTGATGAGGGAGGTTTGTATAGGCGAGAGAAAGTTTAATGTCGTATGTTTGGGGTCCGTCATTGCCGGAAACCGACTTGGTGGAGTGAGTCTACGGCGACAAGAGAGAGAGATGAAGCGGGAGAAATAAAAAATTCTATACTTAAATAGCTAGCCCCCATGTCTTGAAAATATTAAATTGGCCCCTGATACCCCTTTAAGCCATTAAACTACTATATGTTAACAATTATTCGACCCAAAAATAAGTGAGAAAGAAAAATGGAAGTTGTTTACTTCAATCAAGTTTTCAAGGGGTCCTTCTAACAATTGTTCTCTAGTAACGGTTGGAATTGGAAAAAAGCTAATGCATGATTTTAAAAAGAAACAAAGGGAGTATTATTTAAATGTTGGTTGGAATGGTAACATGATGATTAGACATAAATAGTAACGAAGGAGAATAACTTACAGCTTGTTTGGATGGTTGTTACACATTGTATTGTATCGTATTGTTACGTTAAATACGATGTTTGTTTTGATTGTTACTTAAATTTTATTGTATCATATCGTTAAATCCGTCGTTACGTAACGATGAAATGTGCCACTTTATGTAACGACCGATTTGGTGTGGTCGCGTCGTTACCTTGTCTTTTTCTCTCAATCTCACCGTTCATTATTATTAAATAATTTTATTTTATCATTTACCATACTATTTTATAAAATAATTTTACTTTGTATCATTATTTTTTTTATAATATTGCAAGTTTATTCTTCATATTGCTGATGCGTGATATCATGAAACGATAGCAAACGACACAATCTATCCGAACATTGTACTTATCAAACAATACAATGTAATATAATACAATACGATACATTATGAAACGATATGTAACAACCATCCAAACAAGCTGTTAGGAAAAAGTCAATTCTTTCATTTTAACTGTAAAGCTTTTTCGACAACCAAACACAAAAAATGACTTTTTAACTTTTCAGTAAAAGAACTAGCCATGTTTATAACTTCTTCGCGTAAATAAGAATCTTCAAAAACTATATCCATTGAAGGGATTCTACAAATGATTAATTTCCAAACATATACTGTAGGGAATTAATTTATTGCTGGGAAACTTATATTACAAACATGACAAAATACTAGGTTCAGATTGAACGATATGATCTGCGGTTGCTGATTGACATTTCTGGCAGTTCTCCACACATGTTTGTTCACAGAGAAATCCCATTACTGGACTCAATATTGGCCAATATTGTGAAGATTTCACTCGAAGATCCTTCCTTTTTACAGGAAACACCAGGTATGCCATTTCGGAGGACATGAAAGGAAACTGCATCAGATCACGAGAGATCCTTCGCGCCACAACTAATTAAAAGCGATGAATGAACAAAGGCGAGTGACAATAAAGCGAGGTGTTCATCAACTAAGATGTTCTATGCATTACCTCTAACAACAAAACTATTTAAAATCTCATCCAATGTTCCTTACTAACATCCGAGGCCCCATCAATGTGTTCCATTTTGAAAACTACATTTTGCAATAACATTTCAGCATTTTGTGTTTAACTCTAGTTGCTAATTCAACAATCAACATCTTGTACGTTCCACCACTGCAAAATCCAAATGCCAAAACTGCCTTCACCATACGTCTATCAGTTTCTGCATATATTTTGCAAAAAGAAAGTGAAGGGCCATTGTGCATGGTCAGCTCGAAGAACCATCTAACAAGCAGTGATTCCAGATCAACTTCAAGTTCTCTTCTAGCATTTTCAACAACACGTTTTCTTCGACTGTTTGCTTCTGCATTTTTGGTAAAAGAATGTAAATCACATCAATTATTTCAGCAGTGAAGTAGCAGTTCAGAAAATAAAACAGAAAGGCTCAAAAATAGAGAAATGAAGAGGCACAGCATGATGCTGTTTGTATTTCTGCGGCACATGCATGTTAATACCATACATTAACATGACCTACTGTAAATATTCTTTGAATAAACAAGATTTGGATGGATTCAACCCAACAAGAAGCAAAACCAGATTCGAATCAGTGGTTAGTTTGTGTAGCTCCAGCTTTTTGGATGAAATTGTTCACAATTCAGTGGATAAATCAGTAAAGTGGGAGCAGGGTCAAGGTTTATGCTTAGAATACTATGATACGGTTACGAGTAACCCATACCAATACTGATGTATCATGCAGAGACATCCAAAAATAGAAAACATAAAATAAAAAGAGATACATAATTGCTTGTCAGGAAAGGAGAACCTACTCGCAACTGGGATATGATTCCAGGCATTTTCAGGAAAATCTCCCGAGCAACCTCACCAGTTGAATATCTGAAATCAAATCGATCTGCATGTCGAAGCTTAAACCTAATCGACTGATTTCTATATGATTTTGCAATTGTGTGATCAACACGTATAACATCATATCGGCACACTGAAGAATCCTTGCCAAAGGGCCATCTCAAGCCACCCTTAACATCTGGGTCCAAAATGGCAGAACCAACAAGATCTTTAATTCCGTTAGTCTCCTCATCCTGAAAAATGCAAAGAAGCATCTAAATCACTGGACTCACAGAAAGAATCATCTTACTATACAAAAAGCACAAGTGGTGTTCTTTCAGTAAAACAGTGCATGAGTCCTGATGATAAGATGAAGACGAAAGTGGCGTGCAAATGAAATCAGTAACTCATGACAATATGTCAATAAAAAGTAAAAATAATATCATACAAATTACTCTCAAGTCTACAGATTTAGGTGTTCTCTAATCCTTGATATCCTGCTCATCTCATAAAAGAAAATTGTTCGCCCACTTAAAGATCGTCCAGTCCACATTTTTCCTGATATTGAGATAAATGTTTTAATGTATTTATTATAGTCGTTATCCTACTCGTCATGTTGTGTTGTGAACTTTCCTTGATGATTAAATCATAAACCAAAAATGGGGACAAGGGATTTGAATTGGGACCAGGGCAATGACAAGTTTCTTCTACCTTCCACCCTCTCCCCAATAGACCGCCAACATTGAACAAATCGAATGGAAAAGGGAACAGGGGAGAGGAAGCTAATGAAACATAAAATAAGATAACAAACAGTAATTGTACAGAATGCAGTAAGATTAGCTGCTAACAGCAGAGATAAAATTTTGATACTGTAAACACCAGAAAGAGAATTAGATATGATTGTTCCAAGAAAATTCTCCAATGGAAAGGCAGACTTATGCAGTTGCCAAAAAGCAAATCATAGACTCTAGTTTTTTTGGTGATATGTATAGCTTTTACCACTTGGAAACCTGAAATGCGACCAGTGATTCCTATTTCCTTAAGAACATCATCCCTGGTACTAAATCACTAAACAATTATTCAACCTGACAAGCGCAATCTAGAGGCTAAGGACCTAGTATTAGACAAGGTGAACTGAAGAAATATATCAAGACACCTCATTTGCAAACAAAAAGAACTGTCCTCAAAGCCACAAAAAAGGGGCAAACAATGTTGCACAGATGAGTAACTGAATGCTGATGTTTATCTCTAATGTTTAGAAAAATACAAACATAGGCAGAACTTTCAAATATGAGTTACAACTTAATAAAGGCAAAAGGATTGCAAGGAAACAACAAAACAAATGGAGAACGCACATTGAATAGCATAGATCCACTCTACAAGGAAAAACGGAAAAATTAATTCTCAATGGAGGAAATAACTTACAGATAAAGCTATGATTTTCTTGGTACAGAGCAATAACCTCAGGTCTAAACTCTTTCCAACACAGCTCATGTCTACGACCATGTGTCGTACTGGGCTCAACTCAATCTTATAAAGGAAAAGGTCAATGTCATAATAGTTACAGGAAGATAAACAACAAGAAGTAAAGCGGGCAAAAATATAGGTAGGTGGTGGCAAATATGTTAATGACGATATTGTTATTCTAAAAATAAGAAGTTAATTGAGCAACTTACTAGAAATTTTAGTCATAAAAGGTTGAGACTACTAACATATGCTTTTATCAAAAGAAGCAGAAGGAACTACATACTAACCTTATGGAGTTGAATTTTTTTAAGATCTTTCGCCACAACACATTTGCACGAAATAGTTGAGTCAGGCAGCAATTTATCAACAAGCTACAAAACATAAGGATAGAGCTAAAAGAACCAATACAAGAGGAGGAAGACATTTGTTAGAAGATTAAAAATCATACCGCTAAATAGTATAATTCTTTCTCTTGCACATATTCAAGTCCAAGTTCCTCAACTACTAGGTTTTCCATGAATTCCACATACGAAGGAGGAATATTCGTATACAAAGTTTTTTTCATTTGTGTGAAAGTAGATTCACCAAATGGGTTACTTTTCAGGGATTCTTGGCAAATTGAAGAACTCCTGCATCACAAAGAATTTAAAAAGTATTTAATAGACTCCAAAAACCAATGCTTTAAACACTACACAAAAAAGTGTGTGATACATGAAATATATGAGGCTATTAAGAGGTAAAAATGGTACTGATGCTACAAAACATCATAGGGTATAAGAATATCAGAATTCAGAAGTTTGAAGGATATAGTTGTCTATGTTTCGACCAGATATCTTTCCTTGATGATAGCATCCACAATGTAGAATTTTGGATTGAAACTAACCATGACGTGTGCTATAGTTGGTTCCTAAAAGTAAAACCTCCACCCTTCCCCCTATGCAAAGTGAAAAGGGAAAATTTTCTCTAATCTTGCAGGAAATAAAGATTGCATACTGAGCAAATATCTGTCTTCATATAAAAGAAAGAAAAACAACGTGGCAACTAATTTAAATTAGAAAATTAAATCCTCTAGATATCGTTAATATTAAGATTTTATTTCCCTTCTAGAAGTCATATGAATTCAATGCTCAGAACAGCTGAGACAAACAATATTATAGAAGAGTGGATGTAAGGCCTCTAAGATCTATCCATAGGATGAAAGTTGTAAAAATGTGAAGTTAGACGGATGAACCGATCTTGTCCATTCAGAAATGCTCACACATCCAATAAAAGATTCTTGTTGCATGTATTGAGAATAAAATGAGAAAACGCTGCCTTAGATGGTTAGTCGTATCTTGTTTAGACCTCCATATAGAAATTATAATGATTAAAGGTGCTATATCAAGACGAGGTAGATCTAAAATCACATTGGGACAAAAACTATAACCTCTTGGAATCAAAGTGGACTTAGACACAGAGGGTAATGCAAGTAAAGAACTAAAAAAGCAATACTAACCATGTAGGATGAAGGACTAGTTGTTATTGTTATAATTACATTAGGCTTGGTGTTCGCCAAAAGTCTTTTTTGCCAAGACTTGTATGCCCGTGTATGAAAATTGTGCAATATAGAGACTCTAGTTTAGAGAACTCCTAAGGTGCCGGACAAGAAAAGATTTTGTAATATTAGAAGAAAATGAACCCGACGAGAGCAGAATGTATCCAGAGGACTCATATAACCAGCTCCAACTAGTTTAGGAATGAGATAAAATTGATTGATTAATTGTTTTCCTAAAGTAACACGACTAGGAGACATGATCTTAAAACAACAATGACGAAGACTGTATGTTAGAGCATGAAGGCGATGGTACTTCTCTAATCACAATAAAGAATCAAAAGAATCAAGCCAACATATTCCAGTTTAAATGATAACACCATTTGTACATTCAATGTTGTAGTCCTGTTTGTGATCTTTTAATGTATTAGTTTTTGTGGGATTACAGTTTACAAGGATTGGAGTTGAAAACATATTTAAGTACAATAAAAAGTACACTCTAACATCTTAAGCTTTTAAACAAAGTGGCCAGACAGTTTGACATGATATCATAGTAAGAAAAGCACCTAGGTTAAAGTCGCCATTTGTTAAAAATATAATCACGTGCTTATCACAAGTGAGGGGGCATATTGAAAGCATAACTAAATAACTAAAAGTATGCTTTCTCAAACAGTCTTTAAACTTTTAGATGATATGGTCACACACTCAACACAAGGCAAACAATTGATAAAGGAGACAACTTCTAATAAGTTTGTTGGAAGAAAATACATCATTGATGTCTTCGATACAGCCTAACCTGCCTAATATAATGACAAACATAGAGAAGAGATTACCAACTAATAAAAACTTTTTTCCTTGGTCATCTGTCGACACTATAGCACATAAACTAATGATTTATTAGCTTAAACTCTACATCATTTTTTTTTTAAAATTTTACACACAGTCACACATTTTCCCGACGGGAACATTCGATAGTGTCAGGGAGCCAAAAACATTGAGCCATGCGTTATCCCAATTTCACATTATTTCTGTATCCTTTAATTCCCCTATATAGGAATTATTTAAACACTTCTCTACTTTCATCATCGAACGTTTTAGTATTCGTGAGCCAAAAGGGGGTGAATATATGGGGTAATCGACTAGGAGAAACAGCCACTCTATTTTTAGGAGAAACTCTTAATAAATATTGAATTAAACGGGCACATGATGATGTCTTTCAGAGGAAATTAGTAACACGACGATAAAGCATAGCATGTGAAATGAAGAATACTAACCCATAAAAGAGTATTTTTCCAAAACGAGCTACTAAAGCTGGCTTTACTTTTGCCATATCATAAGCTGCTTCCATTTCATACTTTACTCGTTGAAAAGACAAAAGTAAGTCTTGCTTCACATTTTCCTCCACCAAACTCCATGCTTTATCTTCAAACTCAGTCGTACTTTCACTGCAACCTGAAAAAGTGTACATATTACTTAGTAAACAGTACTATGTTTACTAAGTAAAAACTATAATCGATATACACCACTTCTTGTTTTAAAGGTTGATATGGTGACCTAGAAAACCCAGCAGAACACAGAAAGGTTGCCATAATAGCACCAACTAATTATAGATCATTAATCATTCATCCAATATCACAAAATTTGTACAAAAGAGTGGTACCAGATATTCTAACCAATAAACGCATCCATCCCATTCTGTATCGTGCAACCATAAGTCTTTCCTTAGACAAAATAAAAAGATTTTGGGGTTGGGGAAGGAACCTTTGAATAATTTAGAATCAAGTACGTAATAAACAAGTGAGAAGTTTATAACCAACCATGTATCATGTATAGTTATATCACTGTTTCTCTGGCACAAATTAAAGAGCAAATATCATTTGTAGCCCATCGGGCCAAACATATATCATCTGATAGCCACAAATTGACCCATACAATTCATAACCTAAAAACAATAACAACTGGTAGCCGTCGCCTCCCATCCCTATCTTTCTTCTTTACTATCTTTCTTCTTCTCTTTCACGCCAGCAACCCATGGCTGTGGTTCCATGGACGCTTTTCTCTTTCTGTCTCTCTCTCTCTTTAAAAAGCCTCTTTGGTTTCTCTCGTCTCCCTTTTCTTGTATTTCGGGGTTTGGATCCTTTATTCGGTTCTCGAAAATCTGAAAGCCATTGTAATTTTCATCTTATATTTTAATTCTTGTTTGCAATTCAAAACCTGATATCATACTGCAAAAACCTTGTTACTCCTACATTCACACTAGACCAAAAGCTTTATTTGAACAATTTATTGGCAGATTGTTTTTTCTGACTTCGTGATTAATTTCGTAGTCTTCTAGTTGTGTTTTCACATCACATTAATCAGGTACTGGATCTTTTGTTTTCCCTGGAAGATTTTCTTGATTCATCAGCTCGCCCTGAGCATTTTAAGCCTCTGTTTAATAGTATCTTCTTTTTGGGAGCCAGTGATCTCCTTGTCCTCTGTTTTTGCTCCACCAAACCCGATAGTCGTTTACAAAGTGGATCATTGTTTGGGCTACATCGCTAAGAGATTTTCTATTGACCTTATATACAAAATAGATTGTCACTATACAAAAATATACAAAATAGACTGTTAATATACAAAAAATATACAAAATAGACTGTCACTATACATAATAGACTGTTAATATACAAAAAAATATACAAAATAGACTGTCACTATACAAAATAGACTATTAATATACAAAAAATATACAAAATAGACTATCACTATACAAAATAGACTGTTACTATACAAAAAATATAAAAAATAAACTGTTACTATACAAAAAATATACAAAATAGACTGTCACTATGCAAAAAATATACAAAATAGACTGTTATTATACAAAAAATATACAAAATAGACATTTCGTATATGACATGCATTACATATTTCATTCAATTCTTAGCTAATATTATTAGATCCAAAAGTACAAAATACAATTTAAAAAGGCAAAGAAAGGTTGATCTATCGCACTAGGTAGGGGTCGAACCTGCGACCTTCAGCTTAGGAAATAGACACTCTATCCACTGGGCTACAGGCGCTTGTACTGTCATCCTCATTGCTTTCGGCTACTATATGCAATATGTTTGGGCCGAAGGGCCATTTTTTGTAAGTGGTACAAATTTTTTGTAAGTGGTAGTTTTCTCCAAATTAAATGCTATATTTGAGGTTGCAGAATTGTATATTAGGACAACCGAATTGTACGTCACGGACGCACACTCACGTCCAAAATGTTGCGCATATAGTACCCACCTAGCCGATAAAGAACCGAAAAGAACACTCTCTAGGTACCATCACTAAAGCTACAATAACACATAACGAAGCACATATAAGTAGATAGTAGTACCTTCGATTAGAACCAAAGAATGTGGATTTTGGCCTGATTTGCGCTCAAAGGACTCCGCCGGAAAAGGTTGGAGCCTCACAAGAGACGAAAACTGAGAATTATCAGCTAATCCAACGGCGAACCATTTCGAAACTGCATCATTAGCGTAAACGATATTTTTCCCGCCCAAATATTTTTGCTTTCTCTTTTGTTCCCCAAACGACTTGATATTCAGGTTTTTTCTTAAAGAAGGTACCAAAGATTCCGGCGCCGGAGTTGGCTTCGGCGACGGCGAACCTTTTGTTTGTCTCTTGTGCGGTGGAATGTAAGCCATGGCTCACTATGATCACTTGCTACTGACTGCTCTGTGCACTTAATTTATACAATAATGTGAAAGTTGTAGAATATAGATCGTCAAAGATAACTTGAACGGACGCATTAATACTATCTTAGATTCCTAAAGCGAGCATTCCCATTCTTTCCTATCACGCCGACGTTACACAGTTCTAGAGTGGTTCCTCCAACTAGGAGTATTAAATTTCATTTAAAAAACTAAAATGTTACGTAATTTAGGGTGTCTTCCTACGAAGGAAAATCTTTTCCTATTTTCACTTTTTGGTTGCGTAAAATAGTTTGAATTTTTTTTCATAGATGTCATATTTTCTTGAAATTGGAGAAAAATGACTTCCCTAAAAAAAGTTAGAAAAATATTTTTCAAAAATTTCATTTACCCTCACATCTAACTGCAATCCCTTCTAATTTTAATTTTCTGTTGTTTTCGTTTTTCTATGCCACTTATCCCTCAACCCATCACCCCCAAGAAAAAGAAGTTTTTTTACTTTTTTTTTTTTGTATTTCTAATTTTCTGTTTTTTTCATTTTTTTGAACCACCCACACCCTCAACAATGCTCCCCCCCCCCCCCCTCCAAAAAATATTTTTTTATTTTAATTATTATATTTTCAATTCTGGTTTCTTCATTTTTCAGTTTACAGGTTCGAAATTTTACGAGTTCCAAAGTTATATGTTCAGAGGTTTGTGTGTTTGGAAGTTTGCGGGTTTAGAAATTATAGAATTTACGAGTTCGAAAGTTTGCGGGTTCTAAAGATTAGCAGTTCAGAAGTTTATGAAATTTGTGGGTTTGGAAGATTGTTGGTTCAAAAGTTTATGGCTTCATGTTTATTGTATTAAATTATTTATGAATTTTTCCTTTATTTGCGTACCAAACACCGAAGATTACTACTTGTTTTCCAAGAAAACATTTTCCATTTACCAAACACACCCTTAATGGAAAAAAAAAATCTAACCATTAATTCTAAGTCACCAAATTTTTACATGGGAACTACAACTATGTTCATTTATAAGTAACTTGTTATAAAAATTGGTCATTCATAAAATATTACCAATATTAGGCAATTAGCTATTTGTAGTAAAAAAAAATAGGTCAATTTTTTGCTTTTTTGGAGTTAGTGTTATTATAATAGATTGGGTACGTCTTAAGGAGCTTGAATCCCAATTTTGGAATGATTTGGTGTAGTTTTAAGGTGGTTTGAATTGAAAATTCGATTGTGAGATATATGTGTGATACATGTGTCACCGAAAAAAAATTTGAAGTCAATTTTAACTACTAATTTTGATACCAAATCACCTCCAATCTTCCTCGAATTTTGTATATTGACTCATTTATATGTTTTCAATGAATTTCAACCCTACACATTGAGAAAGATCCTTTTTGCTTAGATTTTTGAAATCTTGTATATATATTTTTTTGTATTCATCACCTTTTTTGCTACCTCATTCATGAAATTTTCTTTCCGTCTTACATCTAATGTTGTTTATCACGCTTAAAAATATGGAAGAAGATCTTTGCGTATGATTCTTGAAGAGAAAGAATATTATTTATTTGGGTTTTCTTTAATTTTTATATGTGCTTGGCTAGTTTTGATAAATTTATGATTAATGGCTAGAGACTGATAAGTTGGGACTTATTTAAAATATTTTTGTAAGATTCCCATTTTTATATGGTCTCTGCCACCCCCGCAAGGCAGAAAATTATATTTTTCAAAAAAAAGTCACCAAATTTTATAGTGTAGGAAAAAAAGAATACTCGTAGTATCCCACTGGATTATTAAGAAGGTAGTACTAGTCCGACAGTTCAAGTTGCTTTTGACTATTTGGGATCTCAATTGGCCTCCGATAGTGTAAGATTAAACTATCGAACTATGGGTGACTCACATTATGTAACACCCCAGATGGTCGTTTCGAGCAATTGCGTCTGGTTCGGTAGTTTGAGATCATGAGTAACTTCATATGGTGTATTATGACTTATGTGCATCATCGACTCGGGTTTTTAGGTGGTTCGGAAATAATTTTAGGGAGTGGCTCTCATTTGAGAAGCTCGAAGTTGAAAGAATTAATCAAAGTTTAACTTTTGAGTATTTGACCTCGAATTGGAGTTTCAATAGTTCAGGTAGGCCCGGATGGTGATTTTGGACTTGCGCGTATTCTCGGAATTGCATTTGGACATTCCTAGAGGGTTTCGGCATCATTTGGCGGAAGTTGGCAATTTAAAGGTTTAGAATTTTTCTAGGTTTGACCATGGTTTGACTTTAAGGCTATCGGGTTCGAATTTTGGTTTCGGAACTTGGAATAGGTCTGTTTCGTCATATGGAACTTGCCTGCAAAATTCGGTGTCATTTGGAGTTGGTTTGATATGGTTCAGATGCTTGGTTGCGAATCTATAAGTTCTTGAAGTTCATTGTAATTTTCATGCATTTTGGAGTCTGATTAGTGATTCTAGAGGTTATTTCGGTGTTTTGATCGCGCAAGCAAGTTCGTCTTATATTTTTAGACTTGTATGGGTGTTTGGTTTGAAGCATCGGGGGATCGGGTGAGTTTCGAAGTGTTTTGTTAAGAATTGTGTGTGGTGGTACGAGTGGAATCGCAATTGCGATGAGCAGGTCACAAATACGACCACCGCAGTTGCGGGTATTTTCTCGAATTTGCGAACCAGGGGAGGATTGGGCTTCAATTGCAAATGCGATACTGGAGTTGCATTTGCGACTCTGGGTTGTCCGCTTTTGCGATGACGATGTTCGCTTTTGCGGCTATTGTTGCTTCGCATTTGCGAAGGTTTGATCGCAAATGCGATCTTCGTGTCTCCTGTCAGGGGTCGCTTTTGTGATGCTTGTCCGCATTTGCGGAGTTTGTGAACCCCATGTCGCAAATGCGACATCTGCAGCCTGCATATAGCTGAGTATTCCAAGATTTAGCTTCATTTTGATATATTTTGAACTCTAGCCTTGATGGGAGGCGATTTTGTGGAAGGATTTTCATACCAAACTATTTGGTAAGTACCTCTAACCAATTTTCAATTATATTTTATGATTATACATTAGATTTAACATCAAATTCATGAGAATCTAAGGGAAAAATTGGGGATTTTGTCAAAGTTTTGAAAAATAAAAATTTGGGATTCGAGAGTCGAATTGGATTCGGATTTGGAAACAAAACACATATATGGACTCGTTGGGCTATGAGTAGTCACGACCTACCCTTTGAATCGGGTTTTGACCGGACGGGCCCGGGATTGACTTTTGTTGACTTTTTAGAAATTGTATAAAGATCATAACTTTATTAATTGAAATTATTTTCTCTTTGCATTATGTGATGTATTCAAGTCGTCTTTGGCTAGATTTAGCCAAGCTGAGGTGAATTTGTAAAGGAAAAGTTAAATTGAGTATTGAGTTGGCCGAATTGAGGTAAGTATCTTGCCTAACTTTGTGTGGGGAAACTACTCCTTTGGATTGGAGATAATTGTATTATTGTGCTATGTGAAAGCCGTGTACGCGAGGTGACAAGTTGGTACACGGCTTATATATGGTAATTGATCGATTTCGAATGTTTATACACTTTACATGTCTTTTATTTAATTGACATAAAATGTGATATCCTTCATTGTGAATCTACTCTTACGTGCTTTAATCGACGTTGTTGGCACTTGTTCTTCCTCTCACATGATACTTTGCATTCATATACTTTAGTTGAAGGTATTGCCTTCTTTATTGTCTTGTGACCCCTTAATTATTGAGTTCCTTGTATGACTTTGTGCTCATCTGCAACATGACCTAATTGTTGGGATTGCATACTTAGTTATCACGTGAGTTACTTGTC